TCTTTGTAGGCTCCCCAAAGCTTTTCTGACTTCTGTCATTACTGGTGGGGTGTCATCTGAGTTACTACTAGTTCTTATAGTATTAAGGTCGTGGTTGTCCCGGCTACTGTACAGATCTTTGTAAAACTTTTTCGCTATTTTAACAATTCTATCCATATTGGTAGTTTTTTTGCCTTCGTTGTCCCTTAGTGCATACGTCCGATTTTTGCCTATCCCAAGTTTCTTCTTCACTGCTTTGACGCTTCCTCCATTTTTCAGAGCGTGTTCAATTCTCTAGATGTTATACCTTCTTACATCGGATACCTTACGTCTATTAATCAACTTCGAAAGCTCTGCCAGTTCTATTTTATCTGTTGTACTTGAGATTTTCATGATTTGATGCTTTTTAATGAGATTCTTCGTTTCCTGGGAAAGCTTGCCAGTGTCCTGTCTAACTACCTTGCCTCCAACTTCCACTGCACACTCCATAATAATACTCGTCAGATTATTATTCATTGCATCTACGCTAAGGTTCGTTTCCTCACTAAGAGCCGAGTACCTGTTCTGCAGCGACACTCTGAATTCCTGTACTTTCCCTCTCAGTGCTAGCTCATTGATTGCATGGCTTCTTGTCTATCAGTTTCTGTCGTTCTTTCTTCAAGTCTAGGCGAATTCGAGATTGTACCATTCTATGGTCACTGCATCGTACCTTGCCAACCACTTCCACATCCTGCACGATGCTTGGGTGTGCACTCATTATAAAGTCTATTTCGTTCTTATTTTCGCCATTAGGGCTCCTTCATGTCCACTTGCAGTTTCCTCGTTTTCGGTAGAAGGTTTTCAAAATCCGTAAATTATTGCGTTCTGCGAATTCTACTAGTAGCTCTCCTCTGGCGTTTCTAGTACCGATGCCATAATCTCCTACTGCCTGGTCTCTAGCCTGCTTCTTCCCTACCTTTGCATTAAAGTCTCCCATCAGTATAGTATACCGTGTTTTTACCTTACTCACTGCCGATTCCACGTCTTCATAGAAGCTTTCAACTGACGCGTCATCATGGCTGGATGTAGGTGCGTAAGCCTGTACCACTTTCATCTCTTATTGAGTTTAATTACGATACTTACCACCCTTTCATTAAAGCTATAGTATTCCTCTATGTTGCCAGCTATGTTTCTGTGAATTAGGAGCCCCACTCCCAGTTCTCTTCTCTCAGCCAGGCCCCTATAGCAAAGGACGTGCCCATTCTGTAGCACCGTATAGGCCTCATCTGTCCTCCTAACCTCACTGAGCCCTATTATATCCCATTTAACACCCTCTAGTTCCTCAAATAGTACAGCTAGACTTCCCTCACTAGATAAGGTTCTAGTGTTAAACGTTGCCAAATTCAGGTTCCAATGGCGGCCTGTCCGGATCCAGAGATTCTTAGCACCCTCTGCATCGTTGAAGATTCGCCGCCGTGGTCATTTGGTTCACAGCTGCTGGGGACTAAGGGCCGTGAGTTATTTGATTTATGCATGTGGGAGGTAGTGGCCAGATACTGCACCAGGGTGGCCAATCCTTCTCTGGTGAGGGAGTGCGTTCCCGGCGGTGTTTACCGGTGAGGCCACACCTCTGGCCGCTTAATACAGTTCCATCACCACGCAGATTTTTTTTTTATCCGGTTGGGAACTGCGCGGCACCGGGATTTGAACCACGGACCTTTTTGCATGCGAGGCGGATGCGCTAATCACTACGCCATCGCTTATGAATTTTTCATAATTCATGCAATAGAGGGTCAATGGCTCACATTTCTCCACAATAACTATAGAATGCAAATAACTATTAAGAAAGTATGTATGCAACATTATAATCTACAAGAAAAATTTTAATGTGAGAATTCTTAGAATGCTCACCCCGTAATAATTGCTTACTTTAGGTTTTTAATGTTTACCCAGGCAACATCAAATTTTAAAGAAGATATTTGCAGGCTTCACACGTTGAGGAATATGTGGGCAAAATTTTATCCCTATCGGGCTTTTAGAAGTACTAAAAAAAACATGATGTCCAAACTCAATGCGTTGACCGAAAATTTGTCTTTGAAAAAAGACATTTTAAAGGTGTAAGTGAGAATGCATCTGTGGGGAAGAGATGTTTTTAAGATGATTTATTCCATCATGATAGCTTGGCTATCATGATTACTTTGAGCATGTGGATTTAGTAAACCCTTCATGCGAAATGCAGCGGCAAGCAGCCAAGTGACAACTTCCAGGAGAGGCTAGGCAGTGAGTTCTCTTTATTTTTAATAGCCACCTTGTGCTCTATAAAAGCGATTTTAACCTACTTCGTGTTTATTTACAATCTTCAATTTTTTCGTTGTGAAAGCAGATAAACAAAACTTGTGGAAGTGAATAGAAACGAAAAATATATAATTTGGAAAAAACTTGCATTCTTCGACTCTCATCTCCTCTTAAAACGCAAAAACGCCTAGCTTGCCACTGGATGGGTTATTAGCACCTTTTAATTATAATGTTCTGGGGGGGGGGGGGGGGGGGATGAAAGTTTGGTAGACAAGTGCACGCTTTTAAGGGTGAGCCTATATACAACAAATTGCTGATATTACGATTTATCATGGCACTTTTGAGTTCATTGTAATCAGGTTTGACTATACATGTAATACAGTCTGGTTTGACTGTATATGTAATGCATTTAATTTTATTCCTCAGCGTCTCTTCTTGCCGTGAAACTAGAATTACAAGTTTATTTGAAGCTTTGACATTTCTGCATTTTTTTAGCAAATCAAGTAATATTTGCTGTTACCGTATTCACTTGAATCTAGGCCGACCCTTAAAAGCCCAAAGCCCGGAAGGGGGGAAAAAAGTTACCACGATTGTTGGTCGAACAAGACAGCGTTGGCAAAGGGAAATATTTATTGAACATGAAGATGAAACAAAACAGTTGGTTCATGATGCAATCATGGTAACTCGAGAAACTTGCAGCCGCTAGTCCTGTTCCGTGTGTTTCTTGGTCCTTGATTTTTTCGCGCTACTTCTAGTTATTTACATCATAAAGATGGCACGCTTGCCAATGCCACGCTTCTCTTGATGCTGATTTCTTTGTCGCTGTCTTCAAACAGTGCGCGATCCTTAGTGCCATCAAGCGTTATTAGACATGCCGCACTTCTTGAAAGAGTGCTCAATCAAAGTTCCCGGGTTGTCGTCCCACCACACCACAGCTCCTTAAGCAGCGCGCATTTTTTCTATCCACTCCACTGTCCCGCCAGGCTTGGAGGTAGGATGACTACTACATGGCTGGGACAACTTCTTTTGTATAAGCGGCACTATGACACCACCCGTTTGACGCCATTAAGCTTTGACGCCACACACATACCTGTAGAAACACGACGAAATTACAAACGGCTCGCCTCAACCTCAGAACACCTATATGCTACCATATACACTTGCCACAAAAATCAAAATGTAGTGGCCTCATGTGTGTATTATGCTAGTTGTTGGCTTGGCTACTAATGGCTATAATACAATGTAGGTGGCACCTGTTGTGCACCACTTTTCTCAATGAAAACTGGTGCGTTTTTTCAAAATGCTCGAATCTAAGCCGGCCCTGGAGTTTGATGTAAAGAAATTTAAAAAAAACTATAGGCCTAAGTTCAAGTAAATATGATACTTTTTCAATAAAAGTTCCAAAAGAATTAAAACTATTCTGCATATGTAGATCACTTTAGTTAAATAGCTTTGTATATGTCTTTGGCTTATAGTACTATCAGTCTTCTGTTATTCCAAGTTTTTCTGATAATTGGGCCAATGTGACAAGCAAGTAGATTTCAAGACATTGAGAGGTATAGAGGAAAAACAAGTTTTTCAATATATTTTTTAGAAAAGATGTACCCAACAATTCAATTTGATAGCAACCTGCTATACAGTCATTCCACGATTTCAGATTTTTGCTTTTTTCTCCTTTTTGCAAAAAAATGTATTTGCAAAAAAATAAATCTTTAACACATTGAGACACTGTTGTATGTCGCGGCATTTGTCAACCACTTCTACGGATAACCACTTAAATGTATTAGTGTTCTTTCATAAAGTATGATTTTTAGTGTTGAGTATTTCGTTTTCTTGCTAGTTTTGGGAAAAAAATTGCTCAACAGGGTATTAATACTCTAATGCATGAAGTCTTTATTTTCGCATCATTGGCTTCATTATTCAGTATACCTGAGAGGATTTGCTTCATGAGGTTTACAATGAATTGAAATATTTCTAGCTCTTCATAAGAGTCCCATAATAATTATTCATGTGCTTGAATGCAAATGCAACTTGCTTCTCCAGTGCAGTTTATGATATGGAATTAGCTGCTCCAGAGTGCTCCAAGATGCATAATTAGCTGCTCCGAAGCTCTCCAAGATAGAACTTCTTGCTCTAAAGTGAAAATTTTATTGCTTTGAAAATTGCTCCAAATCGGAAGTCCTCGGTAGCATCACTGTACATGGCATAACTACTGGATGTGCATGCCGAGTGCTGTGAGAATGTATTATCGTAAATCTCAAAACTGGTTTCAATTTTTTTTTCTTTTAAATGGTTGAGCTTTTTTTTTTTTTTTTTTTGAGACGTTCAACCCCAACAGTTACTGGCCACTACTGGCCACTGTCAAACTGGCCATACTGGCCACTATCAAACAATTGCTATTTATGTGATAAATTCAATTGGTTAAAACCTTCATTCAAATGCTTTTATTAGTAACCAGTTATCAAGTAGTGTTCTCATTTTAGAGCCGAGCCAGTGTTACAAACTGAAATTCTGCTGTCTGCCACTGTCTAATTCCTAAAATTGTGTACTAGTTGTTTTAAAACAAACTGTGTTGAAAAGTAGCTAGTGCTGAAAGATCGGGAGAATGAAGTATTTTTCTGCATACGTATGAAAGTAAAGAATCAACAATACTCTTTATGTGTGAATTTCTTTCGTATATGGGAAAGTTGTGCATATATTATACTTTTTTCTCTCTCCCTCTTTTTTTTTTTTTTTTAATCATTCAGAACCATACCCTCAACCTCAGAAGCGGGAACCAATCAGTGCCATTGACGGGGTCTGTCCTTCCAGCTGATATTGTCCTTGAAAATTCAATATTGCATGCAGAATTTGCAGCTCCTGTTCATCAAGGATATGCGACTGGATATGGCTTCGATGCACTTCTAATGCCACTGAGTGAGTATCGAGCCATAGTTTTATGTTTGGTAATTTTAATTGTAATATGGCAGGGTTTTCTGGAATTGATGGTCTCGGCAAGTTTGTTTTCTAGCAATGTGCTCATGCAAAGGCTCTCCATGAGTGCATTGCATCGTTGCATGTGGTGCAATGATAACAAAGCTGCTGCAATTGTTCCAAGGTGTGACATTTCATGAAAGCTGCTACATCCATGCTTCAAAGTAGCCTCTGAGATTACCTGGTAATGCACCGCCTGATTGCCACTCAAGCCAGTAGTAGACATACTGCTTGAGCAGATTGGTGCCCTGAAAAGGAGTCCTTACTGCCAGAACTCTGGGCACAATATCGCTGGTGTATTGCCATCACTGGTGTATTAATAAATGAAAATGAGAGCAAATAATTTGGGGACCCTTAAGCTTTGCTTTTAAGGGTTTAATGCAATAGTGGAAAATGGGGGGAAGCTTTCACATATATGGCTGCATTCTGTGTAATGGGTAGCATGCTTTAAAGTACGAATAATCATGAAAGTGAGATGTTTTCGAACTTGCTATGCACCCACTACTTAAGACGTCTTAAGGGAATATGTGCAGTAACCTGTGTGCCTTTCGTAATGTATGCCGGCTTTAAACCACAAAATCCTTATAATAATCACATGTTGTGATGCTCAATGGCAATGTAAGCTTGTACCTCGCAATATTACTGCCATATTACATGTTGTGTTGTGAAGCTTGTATGCGGGACGCATGTGTTTGTAAAGCATGAAAGTTATTTTCACGGCATTCCCAAGCATAGGAAGTTATTTTCACCGTATTTCTAAGCAGACGCGTGGCTGTGTGGTAGAACACCTGCTTGCCCTGCAAACGGTCTGGTTTCAATCCTCACTTAAACCCAAGACTTTTTATTATTTATCTTTTTCGCACCTATCTCTATTTTTCAGTCACTGAGAAAGGTGTGCGTAGTCTACGAGTCTTCCTTTGTTTGCTGGCTGTGACTGTCATGCTGTGGTGCCTTACCTGTGCTGTTTGAGAGTGTTAGTGAACCCTGCCATAGCGTCATTTATGCGCTTTGTAGTGGAAGAAGGAAAGTGTAAATTTAAATGCTTGTTTCCTTTGTTAGACACAATATAATGATAACTAACAGACAATAACAGCAGGGAAAGTATAGGGGTTGTCATTGGAAGTAATTGTAATGTAAATGTGAAGAAGGAGAATTTGACAAAAAGATAACTTGCAACCTTTGGATAACATGTCTGATGCTCTACCACTGAGCTGCAGTGGTGGTCATCCCCCCATCCACTTTATAGGTATATATGTGCATTTAAACGTGGGAGCGTCCATCAGCGCCACCCGTTGCCATTATGGCAAGTGTGGAACACTCTTTTTTGCTTGCTTGGTGTCACGTAAACCGTTAACTTATTACGGGATGGCAGCTGACCAATAATCCCTTGCATTTCACCTCAAGGCATCCATCCTGTCAGAACAAGATCTTTGCTATGAATTAAGGAAAGTGTAAATTTAAGGGCTCTTTTTTTTTTTAGTTATACACAGTATTAGTAAGAACTGACAGACAATAATGCCAGGGATAGTATGGGGGATGTTATTAGAAGTTATTGTAATGTAAATGTGAACAAAGAAAAGGGGACGAAAAGATAACTTGCAACTGCAGGATCTGAACCTGTGATCTTCGAATAGCGCGTCCAATTCTTTACCACTGTTCTGCGGTGGCGGTGATCTCCTAGTCCACTGTATATGTTATATATGTGCATTTACATGTGGAAGTGTTAGTCATTGCCACCTGTTGCTAATACGGTGAGTATGGTACACTCTTTTCTTGCCTAGTTGGCATCGTGTAAAATGTGAACTTATTACAGGATGGCAGATGACCAGTAATCCCTCGCATACCACCTCAAGGCATCAAGTCTGCCAGAACAAGACCCTCGCTGTGAACACATTTACATTACAGTTACTTCTAATTCTAATAACATCCCCTATACTTTCTTCTATTAGTGATAATTATTATTGTAGTGGAAAAGCATTGCGTCCTTTCCTGACCACTGCTGATAGACTGAGCCTTGTGCCAACCTGTCTCGATATGTTGTTGGCCAAAAAGTAATTTTCTTCAAGTGAATTGTGTCTGCTGCCTTCTGTCACACTAAATCTCAAGTTGTAATAGCCCCAGAAAGTCCGTTATATGACTGCTGTGTCATGTGTGTTCCTCTATGTACTTCAAGTAAGGCATTGGGGGGGGGGGGGGGGGGTTGCGGCTAGTTCATACAACATTAAAACGCTGAGGAATTGCTCAGTTGACGGATTGACGGATCCCAAGTATAAGTAGTGCACAGGACTGACGTAGTCTTGTGTACTACTTCTAGTTGTGTTCCGTCAACCGCGCAGTTCCTTGCCACTCTATATACAGCCGCCCAATTCTTTTAACCTGAGCGCGCGAGCCTCGACAGCCCAGTCAACAAGCCGATTTTAACGGAGCACAGCAACAAAATGAACGAAGATACATGTATGCCTACAATGAACAGTCCTCTGTAGTGGTCTTCTGCTAGGCTATTCTAGAAACCAAATACCCAGGCACCCGGAATAGGCATTTACAGACTCAGCGGTCATTGCTCGCGTATTCAGGCTAAAAAATGGGCAGCTGCACCGGATATGTTAGTAGTTCATGTAATCCATTCATGGCAGTCTATTACTAGTTGATTTAGTGTTTTTTTTTTTTTTTTGTTTGTTAATTTAGTCCTTGCTGGCACCTGTACTATTGGCCTTTTTTTTTTTTTTGTCACATGAAATTATTGGCTTTTGCCACGTTCATTTGAACTTGACTCCTCAGCATGCATGCGACTAAGCTCAGACAAATTTTAATTATGAACCATGGGATGTAGTGTTGGTCTTGTCGGCAGTAAGGGAAAAACGGTAAATGCGTCAATATCTCACTAAAGAAAAAAGCAGATTTTTTACCTAGGTTTAGTGTATTTCAAAAGCAAAAACAGCTGCTGATAAAGGATATTGACTGCATTTACCAGAATTCAATGCTTGGCTATTCAGCATACCAGCCAAGCTTAGCTTAGAGATTACGAGTTAGGGCTAGATATAGCCACACAATCATATAGGCGCAAATATGCCTGGGAAAGCCTAATTAAGCCTAGGAAAGGCATGTATGCTCTCTCTTCCTCACTCTATTAATATTGTTACGGGAGGGTACACAGAGAAACGAAGTTACAGCTAAGATATATCTACACGACACCAAGCCTAAGCCGAGATGGCAAGCCAGTGCGTGCCCCACATCCCAGAATCACGTAGTTTTTCTCGCTGTCTGTCTTGATTCTTCAGCGTGATGTAGTCTCGTAGCATGAGTGGTAGAGCTTAAGTCGGTAGACATGAACAATGTCTGTAGACATTGGAGATGACAACTTCAGCGGGGCTATCTCGTAGGTAACGTCGGTCACCTGGCGCAAGACGCGGTAGGGTCCCGAGTACCGGGAAAGCAGCTTCTCAGAGTGTCCAACATGCTTAGTCGGTGTCCTCAACACAAGGGAACCCGGGGCAAAGGAGACATCACGATGATGTGTGCCGTAACGTTGCTTCTGTTGCTCTTGCGATGTTAAGAGGCGCTTCCGAGCGACTTCTCGTGCTTTGTGAGCTCTGGTGATAGTGTCACGGGCGTATTCAGTCGGCGAATCGACAGCTGTCAGAAAGATGGTATCGAAAGGTAGAGATGGGTCGCGGCCAAATAAGAGATAGAATGGTGAAAACCCAGCGGTATCGTGGCGTGAGGAATTGTATGCAAATGTGACAAATGGCAATGCAACGTCCCAGTCTAGGTGGTCAGAGGAGACGTACATGGAGGGCATGTCAGTTAAAGTCCGGTTGAATCGTTCGGTAAGCCCATTTGTGGATGGTAGGCCATCGTAAATTTATGTTTGGTTTCGCAAGAGTGAAGCAGGTCTTCAATAAGCCCCGCCACGGTGGTCTAGTGGCTAAGGTACGCGGCTGCTGACCTGCAGGTCGCGGAATCAAATCCCGGCTGTGGCGGCTGCATTTCCGATGGAGGCGGAAATGTTGTAGGCCCGTGTACTCAGATTTGGGTGCACGTTAAAGAACCCCAGGTGGTTGAAATTTCTGGAGCCCTTCACTACGGCGTCTCTCATAATCATATGGTGGTTTTGGGACGTTAAACCCCACAAATCAATCAGGTCGTCAATAACTCGGGAGAGGAAATAGCGTCCACGATCTCTGAGGAGTTGGCATGGAGCACCATGATGGAGGATGACATCGTACAGAAGAAAATCGGCAACATCCGTGGCACAGCTGGTTGGCAAAGCCCGCGTGATGGCGTACTGGATCGTATGATCCGTAGCGACAGCTATCCATTTGTTTCCGGAAGTAGACTGATGGAACGGGCCTAGGAGATCAAGACCAACTCGAAAGAAGGGGTCAGTAGGAATATCAAGTGGCTGGAGGAGTCCGGCAGGACTCATAGGGGGTTTTTTTCGATGTTGGCACTGGTCACATGCGACGACGTAGCGATGCACGGAGCGATGAAGCCTGGGCCAGTAAAATTGACGCTGCATGCAGTCGTAAGTCCGAGAGAGACCAAGGTGACCGGCGGTGGGGGCGTCATGGAGCTGGGCGATAACACTCGAATATAGGTGGGAAGACATCACAAGGAGCAGTTCGCGCCCAGGTGCCCTTTTTAAGTACAAACAGTCGAGTAGACGGATGGGGTTTGGAGAGTTCAGCTTCTCAATAATGTCACGCAAGACAGGATCTCGGCGCTGTTCATCACAGATGTTGCTCAAAGCAGAGAGAGAGAGCACACATGGCGGCGCTTCGTCTAAAGTCTCGGGAGGTTCCACTAAATGGCGGGACAAGCAGTCAGCGTCACGGTGTAAATGGCCAGATTTGTAAGACACCGAGTAGTCATATTCTTGGAGCCGTAGTGCCCAGTGACCAAGACGCCCAGTGGGATCCTTTAACGACGAGAGCCAGCAGAGG